CCGCCTCCCCAAAGGTAACATCTTAGTTGCAGCACAATAACAAAACTAAGGAATTGACATGGCTGTAAGCAGTATCTGTATGCACATGTCACCAGATTGTACTACACTTGTGTTGCTGGTGCTCTCTGAGTTCATCACGTGGAGCTTTGCGTGACCTCCACAGTAGAGACACTCACCTGCACCATCACATAGACCAGCTGTGTTCTGTTAGGTCAGCATTGTTTTCAGAGCTCACTATGGGCTCCTTAGAGGTTATGAACGTCTTAAGAGTCATAACATAACGAAGTTCCTGCCTGCAAGTAGTTCCTTGATGTGGTAGAAATAAGAAACACAGCGGGCAGCCATATGCAGCAGCCGAAATGAAACTTGCCCACTGGGGAGCAGAGGGGGCCTTGTTGTGTTTCGAGGGTTTCATTTTAGCTATGACTAAGCACAAGACTGATTTCTTCTGCTGCTAGTAAATTAGTCTACAGACAGTTCCAAGAGGCTTAGACCTCATACACTCCTCAAAGCAATTCTGCAGATAAGGAAATAGCCTCCTAAAAGAAAAAGAAAAAAGAAATGAGGTTTGTTTGATCTGTTTGGGAGATGTAGTCATGGTGAGACATTTTTGCGCATTCTCACCTTTTTAGATTTCTAGAATACCTCACCTGCTTTTCCTGCCTTGCTCCAGAGTCATTCCCGCTGTGAAGCCCTTGAAGATTTCAGCCTCTATTTCTCTGGGTTTCTCCCTCTTAATCTCTCGTTCGCTATCATTACTATATTACTCCCAAAAAAGTAGCGTTGGAAATTAATATAGCGATTATAGAGGGTAGGCCCTAGATGAGACCTTAGAGCTCATCCAAGCTCCCACCGTTGGCCGGACGTGGCTCGAACCCCGTGAGTAAGGAGGTAAGCGAGACCAGCCCCCGCTTATCAGGAGCCATAGCTTCCTCATATGGCAGATGAGAAACCAGAAGCTCATGGAGGTGAAGTGGCGTACCCCAAATCATTTATGAGGGAGCAGAGGAAGGCCAGAGCCACCTCCCTTGATGTGAATGTAGTTCGCTCCCCCAGAGTCATGGGTATAAGTCAGTTCGGAAACTAATCACGCTGTTTCACGTGGTTCACCAATGTATAGCTTATGGCTAGGCATGGTGTCGAATGCTCTTTTTAAACTTTTCAGCGCAATTTGATGTATAAATGGTTTCTGACTGCAGTGAATGGGGTCAGTCCAGTAGAGCGCCTCTTGCACAGCTATTCTTCAGGACAGGCTGCTTGTGATTCGGAGTAGCTCGGCCTCGATTCAGTGCCATACCATAAACCAGCTCAGAAGCCGCTTTGCCACCCTGGTCTCCTCCTCTGGATGTGCCTGCCTCAGTCATTTCCCCCTTGTCTCCTCCAGGGTCCTCGGGGCAGGCAGAGAGTTGCCAGTCCAAGCTGTTTTCCTGGCTCCTGAGTCCTCTCGGTTTTCCACCTCTGCTGAGGACGTGCGTTTTTCTGAAGACCTGGTCACACGCTGCTAATGCCCTTTGATCTGACAGCTGGTCCTGTTTGACCTTAGGACTCCTCTGATGATGGCTTGCACGAGGAGGAATCTCGAGGTGATCCAGGACCTCGTGGAGCATGGTGCCAATCCGCTTCTGAAGAACAAAGACGGGTGGAACAGCTTCCACATCGCCAGCCGAGAAGGCGACCCTGCAGTCCTCCAGTACTTGCTCACCGTTTGCCCAGCTGCCTGGAAGACAGACAGCAAGATTGGCAGAACTCCTCTGCACACGGCAGGTATGCCCAGAGCCGCACAGGGTACAGGCACAGGTGTGCGGCCTGCTGCCGCAGTGCTGCCGAACTTCCCCGAGTCAGGGTGACCCAGAGGGCGACAGAAGGCAGGAAATAAGAGCAGCTTTGGGCTGTCTTGACAACACTTTGTATAGAGCTAATGTCACTTAGCACTTAACATGCTCTCCTTCCTTGCATGAGTTCACTTTTCATGCTTATCTGTCCCCCCCCCAGCTAGGTAGATGTTAAGCCGGTCCTCACTCAGTCTTTGACCTTGAACAAGGAACTCAATCTCTTGATCAAGTTTCCTCATCAGCAGGATAACGACGATAATGCTTCGTGACAGGTTGTCGTAGGGCTTAAGGACAGGAAGCATGCGAGTCTCTTGGCACAGTGCTCGCTACTTTCATGATTGTTTTCACATTGTGATTATTATTAAAGGCAGGAGGAAAAGAGACCATTTTTAAAAAATCCTCAGCAATACCTACCTATAGTGCTAGACATTTAAATAAATCTAGGTGCTTATAATTCAACACCTGGGTCTGAGTAAATTTTACTTATCTAGTGGTAATGCCAAGTATAAATTCGGGGTACAGTTTTCATTGTTTGGAGTAATTATCCTTAACTCTGGACTATTTGTAGATTATTTTAAATTAGTAAAAAGCAAAAGTGCTGTGGTATAAGATGAAATGGATTTGAAGGAGCTCAAGAGTCCAGATCAAGACACTTAGAAATCTTTAGCCTTCTCGATAGTACACTAAATTAGAATGCAGCGCTTTTGGTTTCTTTAAAAGCCAATACCTGTGACATGGTATAATTTAGGAAATATGCATACAATTATTCTAGCTACCGTGGGCAGTTAGGGACCAAGGAATCCTTTTTAAAACTTTGCCAGTGAGTAGGAAACCTTTCTGTTCTTGCGAATTATTTGACTAGCTCCCCTGCTTTTCTGGAGAAACAGTCAGCGTCCAGCCATTTCACAAAATAGTGGAGAAAAACAAGTAGTCACAATCTTTATTATTGACTATAGCTGTTTTAGTAGAAGAATTAAATTCCTGGTTATATTGTCATGGATTACTATTAAAGTGATTTACATTTCCTGGGCAAAATCTGACAGGCCCTAGGGATTTGCATCATAAAAGTGAGTAGATAAATTTAGGATTAAAAATTTGCCATAAAAGTGCTCCTATAAACAGAATAATCAGTGTTGGCTGTAAACCCGTTCAGTAAAAGCATCCTTCTTTACTCCTTATCCAGCTAAATTTTTATGTACCTAATAAAAATTACTCCTTCCTGTAAGTCATAGCTAAAAGGATTGGCCGAAGACAGGTGCCAGGAGGAAGGAAGCATTTCACATATGCACTAAAAGGCTCTAATTCTCAACTCTCTTCTCCCAGCGATGCATGGCTGTTTAGAGGCAGTAAAGGTGCTTCTTCAGAGGTAAGAACAAAACAGCAAATTAAGAAGTATTTACTAATTATGAGAGTTAATATCGATGCTACACAAAGAGCTCAGACATTGTTCAAAAAGAAACTACACTACCAAAAAAGAAATGAACAAAGGACATAAGCAGATAACTCAAAGGATGTAAAAGGAAAATAGCTAACTGACTTGAGAAAAAAATCGACTCGTCTGGTCATTCAACAGATATTCATTTCTTCATTTGATGCCTACTATGAACTGTACCAGATGCAGGGGCCACAACAGACACAAGCCTGGTTTCCCCTCAGGGAACTCACAGACACTGCACAGCTGTGTGAGTCTGGCGGGTGTTACGAGGAATTGCAGGCTCCCTACAGGAGCGTATGACAGGGAGACCCAGCTTAGCCTAGGCGTCAGGAATCTCAGCCCCGGTGACACCTCAGCTGTGACCTGACGGAGGCTGGCAGTGGGAGGCGGGGAGCATGCCAGGCAGAGATAACATGACCACGATGCTCAGAGCTGGGAAGAAGCACAGGGCACGTCAGAAACGAAGGCGCTCAGGGTGTGCCTGAGGCCTAGAGGGGAGAACCGTGCGAGGTGAGGCGGGAGAGAGAGGCCAGGTATCGATCAGGTGTGACATCGTAGGCCACGAGAAGGATTTCGGATTTTACCCTAAGCATGTAAAATGCCATTGAAGCGTTTTAAGCAGGGGGTGGGTAATACGCTTGCATTTCTCAAAGATCCTCTGGTTGCAAAACAGAATGGACTACAGGAGAAGCAGAACGGGTGCTGGGCAAGGTGTCGGGAGGCTGTTGCAGTGAGATGAGAGATCACGGCGACTGGGCTAACGCTGACATGGGCGCGAAGACAGATCTGGAGGTACTTGAGTGCAATCAACAGATCTAGGCGAATAACTGAATAAAGGGACTGAGGGAGAAGGATGACTCAGGTGTCTCACCTAAGCACCTGGTGATGGTGATGGTGCCGGTGCCATTTACCGAGGTAGAGGACAGGGGAAGAGTAGGTTTGGTGGTAGAAGATGACGGTCTCACTTTCAGACACATCGAGTCCCATGTACCTGAGAGACGTCCAGGCAGAGACATCGAGTTGACATTACCCCACTTAGCTCATACGCAAGATCTACCGTCATACCTCTTTTCACCAAAACAATTCGCAAAGGATTTTCACTTTTACAAAAAAAGCTGTTACTGTACTAACGTAGGTCCTTCGTAAAAGTGAAGTGGCAAACGCCAACTTTCAGAAAGCCAGAGATACCCTTGGCTTTATGCCATTTGGCTTCTGAAAGTTTTCATAGGGACGCTACTTTCAGATGGGGGGCCCTGGAACACTGCAAAGAAACAGTGATGACACGGGAGCAGAGGTGCTGTTGATGCTGGAGGGGGACAGGCCTCTGTGAGGTCACACCGAAGCTGCGATTTGAAGAATGAGGTGGAGTTTGCCAGGTGAATAATGGAGAGATAAAAGCAGAGGGCGTCAGCAAATGCAAAGCCAGCAAAGCGCTGGGCAAATGAAGGAGCAGAAGAAGATAGAAACAGAAAAGGTAGTATGGAGGAGAAGGACAGGAAGAAGGTGGGACAGGTAGGAGGAGGCCCGAGAAGAAAGTGGGAATAGAAGATGATTGGACAGGTGGCAGGTGGGACTGAGAAGGTAGGGCAGGAAGGAGCTAGGGCCAGGAAGAAGGTGGACAGGTAGGGCCATGAGGAAGGTAGGAACAAAAGAAGATGAGACAGGTGGCATATGGAACTGAGAACATGGGAGGACAGGTAGGACCGTGAAGTAAGTAAGAAGAAAAAAGATAGGACAGATGGGAGGTGAGACCGGACCATGAAAAAGGTAGAACCGTGAAGATCGCAGGCACAAAAGTAGATACAACAAGTTGGACAGGTGGGAAGAAGGTGGGACGTGTTAGGATCACGAGAAAGGTAGGAACGAAAGAAGATGAAAGATGGCTGGCAGGACCGAGAAGATGGAAGGACCACGAAATAGGTTGGAACGGAAAAAAGGACAGGTGCTGGTTGCACTGAAGAGGTGGGAGGACCACTAGAACCACGAAGTAGATAGGAACGGAAGAAAGGATAGGTGGCAGGTGGAACCGAAAAGATGGGAGGACAGATAGGGCCAGGAAGTGGCTCAGACCAAGAAGAAGGTGGGACATGTAGGACCGTGAGGAAGGTAGGAACGAAAGAAGAAGAGACAGGTGCCAGGTGGAACTGAGAAGATGGACGGACAGGAAGAACTTCAGACAGAAGATAAAACAGGAAGGAGGTAGGCATGGAAGAAGGTCGGAACGTATGATAAGACAAGTAGGAGGTGGGACTGAGAAGATGGTGGGATAAATAGGACCAGGAAGAAGGTAGGAACGAAAGAAGATAGGACAGGTGGGAGACGGAACCGAGATGATGGAAAGACAGGTAGGACCATGAGGAAGGTGGGAATGGAAGGAGATGGGACAAGTGGGAGGTCGGACCATAAAGAAAGTTAGACTGGGAAATAAGCAGGACCGAGAAGGTAGGAACAGGAAGAAGGTAGGTTGCCGTAAGCCCGGGGATTGTGGGCGAGAGAAACTTGGAGAGGTAAGTTGGTGCCACATTATCCTGACCATTGCAGGTCACGTCGAGGTTTCAGAGTTTATCCTTTGTTTTTTGGAAGTGCGTTAAAGGTTTTGAACAGGAGCAGTCATACCCAAATTACATGGTGAAAAGGTTATTCTGGTAGCTGTGATAATGGGTTGGCAAGGTGGGAGCTGAGGTGGGCAAAAAATGTTAAGAGGCTTTTGTCTCTTGACTTGGTCTTAAGGGGTGAACGCGGAGAAGGAGAGAAAGATACAGTTTTAAAGATACAGAGGTTTTGGTAATAGCTCGGTCATGAGGGCTAAGGGATGACTTCACGGCTTCTGGCATGAGACGCTGGAGCGGTGATGGTCCATAAATGGGATGAGGAAGGTTAGAAGAGGAGCAGGTTTGCTGGGGAAAGTCCACGTGCTGTTGAGCTGGATTCCGATGCTGAGATGGGAGGGGAGAGAGCGAGGGCTCCAGGGTTCCACAGCTCTGTAGCGAGGCGTGCCATCTCCTGCAGGCGGTCAAGCGTCAACAACTGTCCACTCGGTGCCAAGCGGTAGCTTTTCTCAGCTCTGTTGTTCTGGGTTTGGGCTCTAGGTGTCAGTATGAACCAGACTGCAGAGACAGGTGTGGCCTCACCCCCTTTATGGATGCGATTCAGTGTGGGCACATCGACATAGCCAGGCTGCTCCTTGAGAAACATAAGGTACAGCAATGGTTTGGTTTTATCCGTTTGGTTCTTCCTATGAGTTTTAGGTCATAGGATAAACAGAAATCATAGTTATTCAGATCCCGGGTTCAAATCCCAGCACTGCCGCGCCCCCTGTGGACTCCTTGATCTCTTTGAGCATCAATGTTCCCATGTGTAAAATGGAGACGAATTAAAATTCTTCAGAGTCACTCTAAGAACTAAATAATATAGTGTACATAAAGCAGTTAGCAAAGTAAGTGTTCAATAAACAGCTGTTTTCTAGTAATAATAAACTCTTCTCACTGAGTGCACTGTTTGTTTGCTTAGAGAGTCATTGAGGAATCTGGCAAAAGCTATATAGCATCTGCCCAGAAAAAAAGTACACAGACAGCAACGTTTAGCCAAGATGCCAGACGTCCACAGACCCCGGTTCCTCTGCTTCTTAGTTTTGTTCCTGTGTCCCCAATCTACTAGGCTTGCGTTTCCGCCGAGGACTCCCTGGGGGCCCAGGCTGTGCACAGGGCAGCAGTCACCGGGCAGGACGAAGCCATCCAGTTCTTGGTGTCCGACCTTGGCATTGATGTAGACGTGAGGGCAACGTCAACCCACCTCACAGCACTTCATTATGCAGCTAAGGTTTGTTTCCTTTCACGAGGGTGTCCCTGCTTCCTCAGGCTTGCCGTACCCCACAGATGGGTAACTCCATAGTCCTGTTTCTTCAGCTCCATCTCCGGAAGAAATTGCCTGTGACACGCTCCTGAAATGTCATGGCTCTGAAGTCCTGTGTTCTTTTAGATAGAAACCTGCCTTTATTTGTCGTTAGGTAAAAACTGAGAACACCACTCATTCCACATGATGCTTGGGCTTTATGTTTCCTCTCACCGTTTTTTGTCTTTAAGAATAGTATCATGAGAAGCCATAAAAATCCATTGCTCTCTATCCTTAATGGTGGGTTTCATAAGGTAAGAAAGCAAGGGAACTGCACTTACTGGGCTCTCCAGGGTGTAAAATATTCAAGACATGCAGAAAGTTTTCACCAGAAGAGCCACCGCTTGCAGCCTCCCGTTTTAAATGCCAGGAGTATTTTCCATATTACCTTTAACACGATTAGCTACCTGCCTTTACTTGTTCTTCTAGCAACAAGAATAAATATTTTCTGGTGAACTACACTCCCCTGCCTGCATTCCTCTGTGAGGAAGTGGAGGGACAGATGGCGGTGGGCTGGGAGCATGGTCTGCAGTCACGGGGCGTGAGAAGCTGGTGGGTCCAGCCATGGGAAGAGGGAACCTACAGCCTTGATTTTAATCTCAGTAGACCCTGGGACTAACTGGCTGGACAGGAAGTGTGTAAATTGCCTCGTGAGTGTCACGGCCAGCTGTGACAGGACTCCCAAGGGAGGTCGCTGTCTATTCTGGTCTCTCTGCCCTAAAGGGTTTGGCAAAGCCTGTGTTTGCCTGGGAACATTTGGGATTGTGTGTTCTGTATAGGTCACAACGCACCCCTCACACTGAAGGGAACCCCAGTGTGTTAGTGCATGCTTCGGCCTGCAGAGTGGGTCGTCTGTGCCCTGATAACTGTCACCCAGACTTGTCTTGACAGGTTGGTATTGGACTTTGAGAGTGATGTGACGAGTTTTCCCTTAGATGGGGAAACTCAGTTTTAGCAGTTGAGTGCTTTAGAAAAAGGACCTAATATATGCGGTGGAGTTTGTGTTTAAAGGCCCTTGTCACGGTGCTAACGAGTTTATTTCAACCCTCAGGAAGGACACGTGAGCACAGTGCAGACGCTCGTTTCCTTGGGCGCCAACCTCAACGCTGAGGATGACAGAAAGCGATCAGGTACGACGTGTTTGTATGTGTGCCTTGGAAGTTACTGGTAAAGGAATGTAAGCGGTACACAGACTTTTAAAAACATTGGCATTGAGCCGAGTAGCTCAGCAACTTTACTTTCCAATAACATCTTTGTTTACAAAGCTGTAACAGTACTGCTGTTACCATGGCGATGATGATGCCTGCTCACCACTACTGCTGTTATGATTGTTCTTACTGTTTTAAACCATAACAGTACGTGTGACATAAAAGCATTTTGTATCTTTGTCCATGATGCCGCCAGCTATCCAGGTGTCATGTAGATTCTTCATAGGTCATCTCTCTTTGAAGTGTATTTAAAAACTATAATCACTACAGTTTTCTAAATTTGGGGCCGAGAAGGATATTTTGAGAGCTAATTCTTTAGATTTGGACCTCAGAGTAACCTTCGGGGATGTTCTTTGTGTCAGCGGACATCTCACCAGGGTTTCAGTGGGCGCTTCGTAATGCTTCAGACCCACAGATGACTAACCCTCCCCCGGAGCCACGGGCACGGTCACTGCTTCCAGGGTCCCTTCAGGGCTGACTTCTAGTCAGAGTGGGAAGATTTGTCAGCCATTTTTCTTTTTGTCACATCCTTCTTGTTCGTGGTGAGATTATTACTTACACAGGGAATTCACAAAGCTGAAAATGTTTTCATACCATGTAGAGTCTCCCATTTTTCCTTAACTTTCTTTGCTGTTTTAGACAAATCTTTTAAGTCCTCGCCAGTTGGTCTTGTTATTCTTAAACCATTTCCAACTCAATCAGGTCAAAAGAAAAAATGTTTTGATCCAGTGCAGGCAGAGTCACGTAGATGGACTATGGGAATATAAAATCCGTGTAGCCAGAAGAATCGGTATTTTCGTTAGGAGCAGCCTGCTCGCCAGGCCCGTGTCACTTTGGCGCCGTGCACTAAATTCGTGTGACCTCTGTCTCTGCTCAGCCCTGCACCTGGCCTGCGCGGGTCAGCACGCGGCTTGCGTCGAGTTTCTCCTGCGGTCTGGGCTGAGGGACGCCCCAGACGTGACGGGCACTTCGGCTCAGCAGCTCATACACAGCACGGACGTCCTTCAGTGCTTTGGCCACAACGTGACGGCATTTCCCAGCAAAGGCGACGAAACGCTGCTAAATCGTCACCAGGTTCAGTGACATCGGTGAGTGGCCCGTGTTCTCAGCCTCCCTCTCTCCACTCCAGCTGGGGACTCCCGGAGCAGATGGACGCTGGCCATACCGAGGGCTTGACACACTTGGAGTCTCTCCTTAGGCTGCATTTCACTTTTCGTTCCCTTCAAGGGGACTTAGATGAAGTTTGGGAAGTCAGTATCTGGGCTCCTCAGAGAAGCACACAACGCGCACGAATGTAACGTGATTACGTACATTTGTATACGTATTTGTGTATGGATGAAACGTTTTATAGTAGGTATTATGGTGAGGCAGTGATAATGTTAAAAATATAAGAAATTGCTGTTGGCTCAAGCCGTAAGTCCTGATCGGCCTGTTTTCGTCACAGCGGCTTAATTTGGGTTTCCAGCCAGGAAGGAAGCGCTTGTGATCTACTTACACAGACATGTGCAAGGAATTAATGAAAACATTCTGCATTCTAAGCAGTAGTACTGCTGGTTAAGTTATGTTTTGATCTGGAGGTGATTTTTTTTTATTAAGCAAGTACTTTATTGGCTCCTTTCAGGTAATAAATATACCTAAAAAGCTCATCCAAGATATTTTCAAAACTTTTCTATTACGTCAGTTGAAAAATAGGGTTGTCGTTCAAGCCCACAGGTCATATTTCCTGTCATGTGCCATCTGCCACCAAAGCCTGTGATCATGAAGCAGTGAATGCTCGCTATTGTAACTTGAAAGAAATTTGTAGCAATTTAAACAAATTGAAAATAGGACAAGTCTTCAGGCATTTGGATTCTTTCCCTTTATTTACTTTTTCAGTCATTTTCTCTGAATTGCAAAGGATAATTAGTCCAGATCAGTCTGTTAAAAGGCTGCACGCACCCATCACAGGCCAGACCCGGCCTCCTTGTTCAGTGTGGTCCAGTAAGAGCTAGTCACACACCCAGCTGTTCTCGGCAGTGTGCTGGGCTGGGCGAATAGCAAGAAATTCCAGATTCTTCTCCATTATTCCCGGGTGGTGCTGGCTGAGTCCTATCTCTGACAGCCAAATAAAGCCTCTGGCGGAAACACAACTCGATTATGTGCTCTTGTCTTGTGATCTCTAAGTCACACTGTGTGCATCCGCGTTGATCCAGGCTTCAGAATATCTGTGTCGCTGCCCTTTGGGTCTGAAGCTGTGCACAGCCACATGTGCAGGTGGGACGGAAGCACAGTCTGGCGCTGGCCACCTCGTCCCTTTACACGCGTGTGAAGCAACTTTTTGTTTGCAGTGACTGCGCACGGGACCCATTCACATCTGCAGCTTGGCCTCTGCCTTACCAGCTCTCAGGAGCCTACCAGCCAGCAGTGATGGAATATCAGGTTACAGGTTCGTTCCCAGGCATTCTAGAGATGGCAGCGATGATGATAATGTCAATTGTGGCAAAGGTGGTAGTGGCAACATAGTAACAATCCGTCACTGTAACGACGAGGTATTAAGAATGCTAATGACAATAGTGATGATCACTACTATTCCCTACTTCTAAGTATAGGTACTCTCACTTCCTTTGGGTCTCTCCTTAAAAGTCACCTTCTTGGCGAGGCGCTCCCAGGCCACCTGATCTGAACCTTTATTTCCAACTTCAGCATGTCTGTCTCCCTTGTTTCTTTTTTCTCCACGTTTACCGCTATCGGCTGTACCGTACATTCAGTTATTTGTTTCTCGTCGTCTCCCCCACGAGAACGTCAGCCCCTTGGGCAGGGCTTTGTCTCGTCTGCTTACTGTATCCACAGGCCCAGTAAGGTTTAGAAATTCTTACATGTGGTAACAACTCACGTTGCTCGACCTCCTGCTGCGAGGTGGGTCCTGTGCTGAGCGCCCTGCCCAGGTGGTCGCAGTTCGTCCCTTGGCTCTTGCCCGATGCGGCTCTCCTGGCTCCATCTCCAGCATCTGTCTCACCCACACTTCCGTCACGGGCCGCTCTCGCTCCCCAGCTCCCAGGCACTGCTCAGCCCGCTGCAGTCCAGCTCTGCCAGACCAAGTAATGCAGTCTGCGTCCTCACGTTACTGGTCCTCTTGGTCCAGTTATCAGTCACTCCCGCTCATTCTGGAAGCTCGTCCTTGTCACCTCTGATGACACGCTCTGGGATGTTCGTTCTGACTTCCTTTTCTGGCTCCGCCGTGAGCGCCTCTTGTAGGGCCTGTCCCGTAAGTGCTGGTGTGCCCGCTTCTGTCTCCCCTCACTGCTGTCTTTATTCTGCGTGTGCTCCCAGAGCAGCTCCCCGCTCCCCTCGGCTCACCTGCACCCGAGCCTTGGTGACACTCCAGTCTCCAACCTTTATTTTCTGCTGCCTGTTATACTTTTTTTATGCATGTTCCGAGGCTATTCCACATTCAATTTATTCAAAACCTAGGTCTCCTCATAACGTGCTTCCATATGTGCCTGTGTTCACTGCCTAACTTGGTGACACCACGATTCACCTGGTCACCCATGTTGGGAACCAGGAGTCCGACTTGTCCAGCCGGAAGCCCTGCTCAGTTCGTTTTGCTGCAGCCCAGCTGGCTCCGGGTTCAAGCCTGCAGACGCTCGTCCAGACACTGCTGCAGCCTTCCAACTCTTGCCGCTCCCTGGGCTCACGCTCCTCACAGGCACCCCACAGCTGTCAGCTCCCACTCATGGGGCCAAGGGCACTGGGCAGCCCACCGCATCTCCCCACCAGAGAGCACCCCGACACGTGCACCAGGGTTCCAGCGCCTGACCCGGGAGCCACTTCCATGGGGCTTTCGGTGGGTCCTGGGCCACAGTGACTTCCTGATACTGACCAGGCAGGCAGAGGTCCTGGGAAGAGACACAAATTGCTAAGAATTGTAAACATTTGAAAACACCTAGGACCCAACATGTGTTAATCAAAATAAATTACGTGAGAAAGTATTTACACGATTAAAATAGAAAAGGGATTGCAAAATGGGAAAGAAAATCAGAAACTCAGACCAAAAAATTAGGAGAGAGAGAACTACACAGGAAGGGGGCTGAGGTAGTGTGGGGAGGGGCACAAAGCTCAGCTTCACCTTGACGTTACTGGAACCCACCAGCAGGGGGCAGCCCAGAGAAATGTCCCTTTTTATTTTCCCAGAGATTTTTAAGGCTCCTTGTAAAATACAGAACAGTTAAGAGAAAACAAAAATAACCTATAATTCCACTACCCAGAAGTAACACTTTTTTTCCGCTAGTCATTTTAAATGTGTATAGTTGAGATGGTGCCACATGCGCGGCTTTTCTGTAACTCATATTGCAAGCATATCCTAATGCTTTTCCAAACTGAACTTCCGTTTTAATCGCTCTTTAGTACTCCACCGTATTATTGTGGGTGTTTGTGAGTTTATGTTGCTTTTGCCATTTTGTTGAGATAAGACATAGGCAGGATGGTCAATGGTACTGTGTCCATTTGGACTGAAAGCAGTGGATCTGGCGCAGCCAGGGCTGGGAGGCGGTGGCCTGAGCAGGCGTGTGCTCTTTGGAAGCGTCAGGTAACAAAAAAAAAGGTCTAAAAAGGCAGCTGGACGAGATAGGTTTTTGTAGAGCCAGTGAGGCCGTAGTGTTTGCAGACGCAGAGGAGGACCTCATGCGGGGGAGAGCGGGGGCTCTGAGCTCCGGGAGCCGAAGGGACTTTGGCAGAGGAAGAGAGGACGGAGATGAGAGAGCTTCCGGGGGAGCCCACCTTGCATCTTGGTTAACATCAGCATTTGGAGGCTGCGGGGCTGGCGGAACGTGTTGCGTTTCCTACAGTGACGAATAATGATGTCGTACATACTTGACAGTCTGGCTTCTCACCTTCTTAGAAAAAGCAATGGGATCTTTATTGAGAAAAAACGAGGTAGGAATGGGGCTGGCCCCTGGCCACAGCTGTGGCCGGGGTTGCTTGGTGTGTGTGGCGAAGGCATATCGTACAGCATTTACATCAAAGGTTCCCAACCCCAGGGCCACAGACCGGTACCATCAGTTGCTTGTCAGGAACCGGGCCGCACAGCAGGAGGTGAGCAGCGGGCGAGTGGGCGCAGCTTCATCTGTATGTGCAGCCGCTCCCCAGCGCCAGCATCACCGCCTCGGCTCCGCCTCAGATCTCCAGGCGTTAGACTCTCATAGGAGCACCGGTCTCTGGTGCCACAGAGGCTGGGGACCACTGATGTACAGCATCCCTGAGAAAAGCTCTGGGGAACAATTAACCTGTCAGCCACCCGGATTCTGCCCCGTGCCTTGTCTGGCCTGGCACGACGGCCTCTGCGTGAATGCGGGGGTTTCGGTCAGCCTCCATCTCAGATCACCCCATTCCTTCCAGGTTTGCAGAGGCTCAGCGCGCACTCGCGGGGAGGCACACTGGGGGCCTGTGGAGCAGCAGAGACCACAGAGCCTGCTGATTTCACCCCCGTGCAGGGGCTCCGTGCTCAGCATGGCAGCAGGTGGCAGACCGGTTCCCGGGCGGGCTGAGCCGGCGTGTTTGCCAGCAGCAGCGCGGGTCCTCGTCAGACTCACGAGCTAGCAGAACCCAGCTCACATCCGGACATCTCGCCCAGGGGAGCCTGGGAAACGCGGTTTATAACTACTGCCTCTGCAGTCACACTAAAAGGCTGGAGTGGGTCTAGGGTGCAGTCACACTAAAAGGCTGGAGTGAGTCTGGGGTGTCAAACGCACACACGCCCACCACTGATATCGCCGGAGAACCTCCAAAATCCACCGCGTGTGGCTGTGCTGACCCCTCTGCACCTTCATGGGTACTGGGAGCTGTCACAGTTTCTACTAGATGCAATAGCTCTTTGTTTTGGTCTGTGTTCCTTCAATTATGAGTCAGATTCAGGATCTTTAGATTTGTTTGTTGGCCATTTTTATTTCTTTTTCCTATTTTTATCCGTGTTGATTGGCTGTTACCTAGTAGCAAACTGTCCCAATACTCGATGGCCTAAAAGTTCTTTTTATGTTGATTAGTTCTACATAAAACTCAAATGGTAACTATGAAATTGTCGGTATACATGCGTAAGTGGAAACAACAAATAACC